CTTGTGGCACCTCCTCTGTCTCCACTGCTGAAACTGCATCTCAACACCTCAGGCAGTGTGTCAGTTTTTGTCTTCTGGTGGAGCCCTCTAACCTGGAACTCATGACCTTCACTTCCTAAGTTTTCCAGAATTATTTGTTTAGAATGTCCTCCCGCCTTTTTTCCTTCCTTTCGAGAACTCACAGAAAGAAAGTCTATAGTCTATAGTTTGGGGCTCTTGGATGATACTGTGCTTAACCATTTATCTTTTCTCCCCTCTTCCTATTCTTTGTATTTTATTCCAGATTCCAGGAACTGTTGGTGTGTTTTTCTTTTTCTTTTTGTGTTACAGCACTTTTTAATGACTACAGTGTTTTCTTTCACTTATTTCCTGAGCTCATCAGTAGTTACCTTATTTGGTTTTGTTTTATCATTTTTCTCCCGCACGCACGGGCTTTTCATTGTGTTATCTTCTTTTTCTCTCTCTTTCATGTTAGAAGTCCTCCTCAGCTGCCCGATGGGTTTGGTTACCTGTTCATATTTGACAGTATGTGACTCAGAAGCACCTTGAAAGTTTTAAATGTGTGGCCGACTTTGTCCTGGGGTTCCCTGGCCGGGCCATGTCCTGAGAGAACCCCAAACTCAGTACCTTTTGGGTTGTCCTTCAGGCTGCTCAGAAGGCTCTTGTGATTTCCCACCACTCCTGGGGCCGCTACTGTCTTTCCCAGTGCAGCCCCTCCATCCTGGGCTGTCCTCATCACTTTCCATTACCACAACTGACCGACCCAAGCAGAGTCTGAGCCCTGCGGGGTTGGGTTGAGGGTTAGACTTCACTGTTCCTAAGCCGGTCTGCTCTCGTGGGTCTGCTGAGCCAGTTCCTGCCCACCCATTATCCTTTCAGCTTCTGAAAGCTTGATACTTTTCTCACTTCTCCTGATCTCTTTGAATTTAGAGAGAGAGAGAGAGAGAGAGAGAGAGAGAGAGAGAGAGAGAGAGTGTGTCTGTCTGTTACTGTGGGTGAAACCCAGGCAGGGCCTTTGCACTGAGCTATATATATCCTTAGTACCTCACTTTTTTGAGACAGGGTCTCAATAACCTGCCCAGACTGGACTTGAACTTGTGACCCTGCTGACCCCACCTCCCAGGGACCTCAGCATGGACCTCCAACCTGGACCTAGTATCCTCGCCATCACTTTGGAAAGCGAATTCACGTGTCTGTTTAATCCAGTATTTTAATCAGGTCTCTGAATATAGCGTATACACCATAAGGAGCCCCTGTTGTCGCTGCTCTGCATAACGGGTTCTCTGTGGGAGAGGTGAGACCGCAGCAGCTGCAGCCAGGTGTCACTGAGGCCGCAGATCCGCACCTGGTCAGTGCTGTGCACCAGGCGCGTCTTTGAGATCATCTGTGACCTTTTGAGCTGTTTGTGTTTCTGCACAGACTTAGCTCTTCGTGTGCCGTTGGAGTTGAGGGATTCCCGCAGCAGGCTGACCTCAGGTCTCAGGACATTCAGCCTCCAATTTCATGATTTGGGTTTCATTTTTGTATGTGCAGCTGCCTCTCAGCGGTGTGTGCATCACTTATACTCAGTTTGCCCTTTAGCGTCTGCCTTTTGCAGAGCTGATTTTATCCCCAGCTTGTCCTGAAAGGGCGGTATGTATAGATTCAGTCTGGGCGCAGCGTGATCGCAGGGTGGTGTTCCGTGAAGGACCCACTGTGCTTTCCACTGCACCCAGTACAGGAGTCAGGGTCCCTGACTTCACGGGGATGGTGCCCACCTGTAACCCCAGCGCTCTGGGAGGTTGAGATAGGAGGACTGTAAGTTGGAGCCCGGCCTGCGCAATTTAGTGACTTAGCAAGACCCTGTCTCAAGAGCAAAAAGAAAAGGGCTAGGAATGTAGGTCAGTGCGAAGGCTCTGATTTCAATCCCAAGTACTGAAGATGGACAGACAGACCGACCGACTGACCAACCTACCTACCTCTATCATATTTGTTTACCTTCTTCAAACCAAGCAAAGGCTAGAAAGGAGATAGGCACTGCAAGCTGGGACAGGAGCCTGCACAGGAGCCTTCTGTTGAAGTATCAGCCCTCAGGACAGTGAGGAATACGTTCCTGTCGTTGAAGCAGCCTGGACGCTGGTGCTTTGCTGTGGCAGCCCATGCTGACGAGCACGCCTGTTTGCCATACAATGACTTGGTTTTCCAGGTTGTTTTCTTAGACATTGTCACTGTCAGACTTCAGCATCAAGTGGGTGTGTCTGCAGTTGGTGGGCCTGACGCGTGCCCTAACCTGAGTCCTAACCCGGGTGGCCTGTGCATACCCTCACCATACAAGCTCTGTTGTTTGTTCAGTTTTGAAACCCTGGCTGGCCCAGTGGTTGGTCCTCCATAAATACTGAAAGGAGGGGACAATACAAGGCTCACTGTGGCCTCATCTCATGGACATGAATATCAATGACATGCCTTTCCCTATGCCAGGCAGGGAGTCTCCCTCTGTCGGGTGTGTGGTGTCGCACACTTCTGTCATGAGTACACCATGCAGGAGTCCCCAGGAGACTGTGGAGCCAGGACAGCAGCCTTCCATCCTGTCTCGAGGGCCTCTAGCCCTGTGCAGAAGTGAGGAGGAAGGGGTGAGCCCTGTGTGTTCCGAATGGTGGCTCAGTGGTTTGGTGGCATAGGGCACGCCAAGGCACCCAGGAACTGGGGTTAGGCTCTGCTCAGGGAGGTCCCATGCAGGGTCTCTGTCATGGTTCAGAGGTTCTAGAAGACCCCAGAGCACAGGCCGAGCAGGCCTGACACTTAAGCTGGTGCTGCATCGCACAGAGGGATCGGCCCAGGAATTGACAAGGAGACAGCAGGCTGGGTGTGGGGAGCACACCTATGATCTCAGCACTTGGGGAGCTGAGGCAGAAGGATCCTGAGTTTGAGCCAGGCCTGGCTGGCGTAACACCTTTGCAAGATGCTGTCTCAAAATTGTAAAAGGTTGAGGATGTAGCTCAGTGCAAAGGCCCTGGCTTCTGTCCTCACACTACACAAATAAAAGAGAGGGAGGGAGGAAAGGAGGACAGCTCATGAAGAGCCTACAGGTACAGGCGTGGTATGCAGACTGTGTTCTGGGCAGAGGTTCTGTATTTGTGCATGTACCCTCAGACAGTCTGTTGTGGTAGAAGTGAAGTCCAGGGCTGGAGTCAGAGCAATCTTTTGAAGGTTTTCTTTTTCTTTCTTTCTTTCTTTTTTTTTTTTTTTTTGTATTTTAGGGAAGGGTCTACAGGGTGTTCAGGGTCTCACTACTAGATTGGACTTGTAGTGAGCTGCCTGTGTATAGCCTCCCAACAGCTAGGATTACAGGCATGTACCACCATGCCCAGTCTCAGTGCACCCTGGGGGTAGGGCCAGCACTGCATGCCTGGTGATGGAACCCCCAGCCCCTGGGCCTGCTTGCAGGCTGTTTTGAAGACTTCTGAGCCCCAGAGGAAGGGCCCACATCAGGCTATTGGGCAAGAGTGAATGGGTCTGGCTGTGTGGAGACAGGAGGGCCTGGGCAAAGGGAGCCCTTGACCTGTGTAGGTGTGAGGGTCAGCACCTGGGAGTGTGGTGGTCAGTGTGGGCAGGGAGGTAACAATGTGGACTTAACACAGTGGCTGAGGGCATTCGCAGTGCCCTTGGGCATTGTTCAAGGAGTGGTCTCACTAGAAGAAAACGCCTCAGAATTCCTCAATAGGCTGATTAAATGTTTGCCTGGCATTTACCCCCTAGAAGACTCTTAGCTACTGGATAAAACACCAGATGCTACTTAAAAGTCAGCTTATCTCAATGCTCTGAAGCCAGGAACCTGGGTTTTGGCCATTTTTCCCCCATTCTTTTTAGCAGGAACAGAAAACAATAGCTTGACTTGGTTCATAGTTAACATTGTTGTGGTTTGTGTCTAGGTGTCCCCCCAAAGCCTCATGCAGTTGTGGGGTGGCTTCTGGAGTTTGTGATTGATTATTGTGGGTGTGAGTGCTGCACCTGCCCTGGGGCAGGTAACTTACCTCACAATGTAAGGAGGCCAGAGAGGCTGGCTGGCTGCCACTTCCTTGGCTCTCTGCTCTTTGCCACCACCTTGAAGGGCTGCTGTCTGCCATGTGCCGCTCTGCCGTCTGCCATGTGCCGCTCTGCCTTGGAGCCAGCTGAGTATGGACTGAAACCTCCAGTAACTAAGCTAAACAAGCCTTTCCTTCCTTCATTTTGGGTGTCGGGTTTTTGTCCCAGCAATAAGAGAAGAGTAACAGACAACCGTATTTTTTCTTTTTAAGACAGTGCTACAGCAAATACTTGTCTGTTTAAAAGTCAGGTTTTAACATTATTAGTTATACATTTACTCCAGGAAATGCCAAACAGATGCTCAGAATTAAAAGCCCACAGTTCAGGGAGGCTTTCTTGCAGAGCTGCCTGAGTTTTCTTCATTCCAGTTCTTTATTTTACAGTGACTTTGGAGGAGCAATTTTCTTAAGAGACTACAAATTGGATTTATTCTCCTTTATTGAATTGAAATTCTTAACAAGACTTTGTACTAATGAGATATTGTATGCGTGTTATGCTGGAAAGGCTAGTTTGAGTCATTGAGTTAGCATTTCGGAATTAGAAGTCATTGATTAAAGCTTTACTAATAACTCATGTGGAGTGCAGTAATAAAAAGGCTTCCGCGAGGTGCTGCACCACAGCCATGAGGATCCATACCGGGTGAGTAGCCACGACCCAGGACTCGGAGTTTGGCCTGACTGTTACCGAATGGCCGCTGCTCTGCCAGGGATACCTGCCCTGCCCCTCCAGGACCTTTTGTCCTTTAGTCGCCAGGTATGGCACGGCTGCAGCACAAGGGGCAAGAAACCCGCTTTCCTCTGCAGTTCATGCTTTCGGTAGAAAAAATACTTGGGAAATATGGAAGTTTTTAATGAAAGAGAAAAACAATCAGGCTCATCTTTGATTTTTTTTCTGTGGGTTGTTTTTCCTTCTGATGTGAAAATTTTTTTTCTTTCCAGTTCAAGATTGATGGAGAGTGGTGGACGTGGATTGATTACAACCGTTTCCAGGAGCTCGTCCAGGAATATGAAGATAGCGGCGGATCCAGAACTTTCTGTGCAGAGGATTACATGGCTCGAACTCCTCCCTGGGCCCTGTTTGGTGCCAGGGAAAAAGGCTTTGATCCCAAGGACACGAGACATCAGAGGAAGAGTAGATCAAAAGCCATCGCTGCGAGTTGAGCTTCCTGTCATCATGCTGAAGGACAGGAGGATGGATCCAGAAGGTCACTGGACTCCCCTGACTTCCGAGTCAGATCCTGCCATGTAGATGTCACACAGCTGAGACGGTGGCCACACTGGAGAGCCAGCCCCACGTGCTGAGTGCCCAGACGTGGCTCCAGCGTTTCTTGCCAGCATTCAGGCCTCCTGATTTGGTTTCTGGCAGGAGCACATTTTGTGCGGGGAGAAGACAGGCATTATTGGAACATAGTACTTTGGAGTTATATTTGAGTGCGATTTCCATAGGAATAAACAGCTCTGCCTCTTCCTCCTTCCGGGCTCGTGGGTTTCTGTGAAGCAGTCCCTTAGCATCGAGGTGTGCCACCCTGAGCTGGCGCATCTGAATACCATCCCTTCCTGCTGCCCTGTGGAACACCTAGAAGCATTTTAAGTTGTCGCCGCTTTCATATGTTCCTAAATTCTGCACCAGTTGCTTTCAGATGTGCCTTACATCCACCATGTGCGGCATTGGTCTGGAGCTCATCTTGCGCTGGACTCCCCTGTTCTCATACAGACAGACCGCCTGGGGACGGTCAGTAGAAGCCCCGTCTCAGAGGGATCGCCTTGCACTGGCCGTGCAATGAGGTGTCTGCGCTAACTTCAGCGCCTGCTGCGCCGCCCTCGCCACGCGGCAGGCCGCTATCTCCCTTCACTCCTTTGGCCTGCTCCCCACAACCCGTTCCTTAAGTTTCAGATCGCTCTAGTTAAAAACCCCACACTTAGTATTTTTATTCTAGTTGTCAAAGTTCTTTTAAAATTCTTCTTTCCAACAAATTAAATTAATAAAATTATTTTGTAAAGACTTCATACATGACTGTTCTTTTATGTGCTGAAAGGTCCCTCTGGTCATAAGGTTCTAAGTCACATCAGGCCCACTTTCTCACTTTGTAGCTGTTTCATCAGAGCTCCTGTTCTGTGGTGAGCTAAAATCCGCAGATGATTTAGTCTGCCTACCCACTTAGTTGAATGCTGAGTGCCATATTTATTTTGAGGTGGAAGAGTCAAGGTGCTTCTTTCCGCTGTGAGCTGGCATGGTGAACACAGGAAAAACCTCTTTTTTTTTTTGTTACTAGGAATCGAACTCAGGACCTCGTGTCTGCCAGGTAGGCGCCGTGCTGCTGAGGTACATCCCTGGCCCAGTCTTCTTTGTGTATTTATACCACTCTCAGGATTTCACTTCTGACATCAGATGTGGAACGTGGGAGGCCCGCAGTGAGCAGTAATAGCTCAGTCCCACCCCAGCACTGTTACGGCTTGTGTCGAGATGTCCCCCAAAGCCCCATGCAGTCGCAGGTGGGGCTTTTTGAGAAGTGACTGGGTCTAGAGTACGTGATGCTGGTACTGATTGATGGGCAGAGCTGTGCTCACGGGCAGTAGGATTGAGTGTGTGAGTGTTACGCCCCCTGAGTAGCCTGGATAAGATAGAAGGGACAGAGCTGTGGACTTCCCTTCGCTCGTTTTGCTGCCTTCTGCCTGCCATGGACTGCTTCTCCTCTGCCACGCCTGTCTGCTCTGCGACCCACCGTGGAGCCAGCCAATGAGGGACTGAGCTCTCTACACACTCTGAGCTGAATAAACCTTCCCCCTTTGAGTGTTAAGTATTTTGTCCCAGCAACAATCTAGCTGAGAGAGATGCTAGCTGCAGTTACCACACACTGCACGGAAGAGAGACCCTTACATCAAACTGCACTCCCACGTCGTTGTCCCCAGGTTCACCACAACCTTGGCACCATGTCTCTAATCCCTTCTTGGGATTGCCATTTGCTGCAGGGGCTCAGAGGACTCAAGATAGCAGAAGACTTCCTATTGCTGAATTACAAAGGATGCTTATTTCAAAGAAACGACCACATGAACAGATCCATAGGGCACAGTCTGGAAGGGCCCCAGTGCGGGGCTTCTGGCCCTGTAATGCTGAGATGTGGTCCCTTCTCACACATGGCTACCTTCACCTTCTCAGCAGCTCTCTGAGCCCCATAGCGCAGGAGTTGTTTTTTTTTGTATTTAGGACAGGGTCTACAGGGTGTACAGGGCCTCACTGCATAGGTCAGACTTGTAGTGATCCTCCTGTTTACAGCCTCCCCAGTGCTGGGATTACAGGCATGTGCCCCTAGTATCGAACTCCCGGCCCTGCGTCTACCTAAGCAGCCACTTTAATCCACTGAGCTCTTTGACTGGCTGTAGCGCAGGGATTTGGATGAAGGCTTCCATCACACAGGGAAAGTCAGCCTCCAGGGCCAGAGCTTCCAGGCCTTTGCTAGCAGCCCAGCAGGAGCAAACCTCTACGACAGAGGGTGGATCCGTCCCTGGTGCTTGAACCGTCTGGGAGCTGTGCATCAGGAGCTGGGGCAATGTTGGGATAAGAGCTCCCTGAGTGCTCTGGAAATTACAAGGGTCCTAGGAGTTCAGGGCCAGACCGCAGAGACTGAATTGTGTCACTTTGGGGACAGTGGCCGAGTATCACAGAGATCCTGTCTTTCTCGAGCCCAGCACATCTTCAGGCTCTGCAGTCACTGTCCTCGCTTATGACAGGGTCCCAAGATGAAGGGCAGTGAGAGTCACGCTGTGTTTGTGGTTGCTGGAGAGAGATGAAGAACACCTTCGGCCTGGTCTAGTGGTGCAAGCCTGTCATTCCAGCCGTCTGGGAGGCTGAGGCAGGAGGAGTGTTAGGTTCCAGCCTCGCCGGGGCAACTTAGTGACGCAGTGAGACCCTATTGCAAAAAAAGGGTTGGAGGTGTAGATTAATTAATTAAGGCCCTGGGTTCAGTTCCTGGTACTGGGAAACCGACACCTTCGAGTAGGATGAAGTGTTAAGCCAGAATTCACCAGAGGGAGCACAGGGGGACTGCCCGAGAGGTGGGCAGCCGGGCTGCAGGGGCTGCCAGGGAGCAAGGTGGGAGCCGGGCACTCTGGACTGGGGGCGCTTGCAGCCTCTTCAGCCAGCACTGCCTCACTTTATTAGGAACTGAGGTCTTGCTTAAGATTTAACTTGAAGGAAGATATTTTGTTGCTTCAAATCATAAAAAAATAAAAGAGAAAAGGAAAGAAAACCCCTCACAGAATGCATGAGCCTCTGAGTCCATTAGCTTTTGGTACAGAAATGCATGTTCTTTTGCGCCAGAACATATTGATCTGTGGCTTCCTGTTAAAAAAATAAATAGCATGGCACATTAATCCTGGCTCACAGTCGCAGCAGAAAATGTAAAATGCCGTAGGGAGAATACGAAGGGCTGTACTCGGGAAATAAGTTTGCTGAAGAATAGAAAAGAAAGGAAACCCTGGGCACGCTTAGAAGGTGACCTATTTATAAAACATCATCCTCTGTGAAATTTATCTTTGGTGTTTAAGCCAGTGATTGTAATGATGCCTTGAAGAATTAGCTAAATAGTTGGGACTAGTTAAGAAATTTGAGGAAAAAATCAAAAGAAACGTTGCTAGTTTACTACAACAATGTCATGATTACAAGCGTGTCTGTGCCTAGCAGCAAGCTCCTGAGACACATAAAAGCCAAAAACTTTAATTCAACTTAAAAATATATAAAACCCTGGCAGTTTATGGGATGAAGACAATTAAACAATCAATAGTCTGAAACTTATGTGCCCCATTTCTAATAATAGGACGAGTCAGAAGCTGGGGCAGGAACTAGAGCCGAGCACCACCGTCAGCCAGCCTCACTGAAGCTTCCGAGAACGCCGCAGCCCTGGTGCCGTATAACCAAATGACGTGGAGCGTTCCCAGGAGAGCTCACACGTGAGGCCATAAAGTAAGTCTCCGTAGACCTGAAAAAACTGAAATCATACAAAATATATTGCGGTCCTAGCAGAAGAGAATTAGAAATCGGCAACAGGGAAAACATCAAGATACTCACAAATATGTAGGAGCTAACCAAGATTCTAAATAACCACACAGTCAGAGAAGCCATGAGACAAATTTAAAGGAAGGAAAATAAAAAGAAAGCATACCAAAATTGAAATATTGCTACTATAGCACTTAGAGGGACATTTATAGTTGCATATACTTTCACTGGGGAGAACCTGTGAGATACAGAAGGAATTAAGATGTGTTACTTACGTGTACCAACCTCACACAAGGATTGTAAGCACTATGGACTACAAACAAGTAGCAATAAAAATAAATGAAGAGAACATGTATCTCAAAGCAGTAGCCTAGCCTTCCACCTTAAGAAGCTAGAAAAAGAACAGCACATTAAGCCCAAAGCAAACAGAAACAAGTAAGTAATAAACATTGGAGTGGAAGCAAACAAGGAAAGGAAAATATTTTTTTTCATAATTTTATTGATAAACAGATAGCAATGAGACAGTTTCAAATCAAATTGCTAGGACAGTTTCAATAACTAACACACTGCATGCATTCTTCTTAGTGGTTAATTGCTGTCCAAGATGTGGACTTGAGATCCTAATTACAAACACCATTAGAACAAATCATTCTATTCATTAAGAGAATGTAACTATATATCTATCCCATCAACTTTGAATACACAGATACAAAATGGACATTCATCTGTATACCCCTTTTTTTCTAAGTTCCGTTATTGAATATTATAGGCGTGTAAACTCAGCAAAATATTCTAAAAGAGTCCAGTAGCCCTTAATAGCAATGGGTCTTCTGTTTAACTGGTAATGTCAGAAATTATTGACCTGAGTTCCCCACAGCTCAACATAACATCATGGCTTTACTTCCTATATTTTGTCTTCATACTTTTCTACTGGATGGTTAAGACCAAGGTAAAGCAGGACCTATGCAACAAGAGTTGTAGCTTTTGGGTCTGATAAGGGCAGTGAAATCCCCTCAGGATTTATCCTGAGATCCTGTACCTCAGATTGTAGCACCTTTGTCAGTGTCAGCCATGTGGATGAGTCATGGCCATTGCTTGGCCAATGTGCTGTCTGTGAAAGCCTGAGAGAGTGTCTTCTCCCCATGTGACTCTCCTTAGGCACACTCTACATCATCGATCACTTTCCTCTTTGGCCCCATAATCTCCTTGATCAGAAAATTTGGGACACTACCGAGGTACACGACGTTACAGTACAAGTTCTCATATGTCCTGAGTCTTAATTGACCTTAGAAGGTTAGGGCCAAAATGTTGGCTTTCCTTGCAGCCCTCCTTTTTCTCTAATTCTGGTCTGCAAAGGAAAAGATTTTAAAATCACCAAGGTCAAAAGTTGGTTCTTTAAAAACTTCAACAAGCCAGTCACTCTGGGAGACTGAGGCAGGAAGACCACACGTTCAAGCACAGCCTGGGCAACTCAGGGAGGCACTCTTAAAATTTAAGAAAAAGTAGGGCTGGCCAGATAGTTCAGCTGATTAAAGTGCCTGCTTAGGCAGACACAGGGGCCTGGATTCGATCAGCTCCATATGCTGTACTGGCCCAGCCCCGGGGCATGCCGAGAGGGTGATTGATACTGGACGTGGTAGCGCATGCCTATAATCCTAGCAATTGGGAGGCTGAAAACAGGAGGATCACAAGTCCGATCTGTGTAGTGAGACCCTGTAGACCCTGTACTAAAAAAAACAAAAAAACACCATTGGAAGGGCAGCAAGGGATGGAGCTCAGTGGAAAGGCCTTGGGTTCAGTCCCTTCTACCAGGAACCACCACCACCACCACCAACAACAACAACAACTAACTTCCACAAAATCAACCTTTAGCTCATCACCAAGGGGGGAAAAAGGTAACAAGTAACTACAATCAGATATGTGTGTAAATATGATGTTTGTACAACAGTGAATACCCTATACCCACTGAAT